CCTTTGGTCCCCCTGAGATCTGGGGTTTCAGAGTGGTATTTATCCAAACCTCTCTTAAGCCGACAGCAAAGAAGGGTTTGTTTTTGTTCTCTCCCACAGTCCTTAACTATAAATACTCCCCAAGTCATCAGCATTTTAAGTAACAGATTAAGCATTAAGACTGTCTCACATTGTGTTCAAATATAATCAGAGAGCAAACAGGTTAAACATAGGTGGCGCAGTATTTCCTCTGAGATGATGCGATCTGAGAACAAGAAAACTGCCCCTTTGGCATAACAGCCTTCCTCTCCCATCAAATTTAGTATGTGCCATCCTTACAAGCATGAGCACTGCCACATGAGGTTGTCAGTCCAGGTCTGTCTTGGCTTGGGCAGCCAGGAGCCAGCAGCTTAGTTATAGGAGGAGGTGGCCTCAGATGACAATTTCCTCTTGAAAAGTGGGTGGTTGTTGCTCTGCTATATCCTTAGAACAGAAAGCTCATGCATGGGCCTTGGGCTGCTTGGAACTTGGTTCTTACTCTGCTTTGGACTCAAGTTGTTATGGGGAGGTCGGTCTCCACTTTCCCCCATATTCACTCCCTTCCATGGACTCCTCACCCCCCCCCACCATGATTACGATCCTGTTCTACTCTTGGCAAGTTCGCAAAAGTTAAGCACATGTGTTAGGAGCATGGACATTAGAATTAGACAGCCTTGGAGTGGACTCTCACCCTCAACCATTTGCTCTGTGTGTGACAGGGCAAATTGCTTAACCTATGTGTGCCCCATATTTCCATTGGAAATGCAGCTCCTCCCTGCCTCAGTGGGTCGGTGTAAGGGACATAGTAGATTATGATGTAAAGCTGTTTATGTCACTCAGTGCATGACACATGGTTAGCCCTCATTAGGCATCAATTTTCATTTCTGCTAGATCCAGATGTTTGCACTAATTTTATTTAAATTATTACTTTGCTGTAGTCTTGTTTCCTCTGATTGTTGTATCTGCTGAACTGCATGTTTCTTAAAATCAGGAGAAAGGTGCTCATACTTCCATGTTGAGAATATAATAATTGCTTGATTAATACTTATGTTGATTTATTTAGTTCCTAATGTATTTGGGGCATAAAATTAAGTATTGGACCACAGAAGTATGCATATTTAAGGAATTTATGATTGAATAAAGAATTCAAAAACAAAAACAAAAACTTTATGTGTTCAAGTAGCCAAAGGGGGGGGTGTCTTCATGCAAATCAAAAATAGGATAGAACGCTATCGCCTCTATATTGGGCCCATAGCATCTATTTGAAGGAGATGTGCTGACAAGAGCAATCTTTTCATTCCTGTATGCTAGTTAATACAGGGCTCTACTGGTAAGAGTAACTCCAGAAGCTACCATGGGAAGCTTTGGGCAATTAGTGACCTTGCCCTTCTAAATCAGTATTGAATGGACTAAGGAGCTCTGACTCCTTTGGTATTAAAAACATTGATGTAAAGATTCTGTAACTGGCCTATTAAAAAAAAAAGAATCCCTAAACCACCTTTAGAATATAAGAAGGATGTGTTAAACCTTAACATGAAACCATTAGGTTTTTACCTGACTACTTGGCAGTCTCAAAAAGAAAACAGCAGAGGAAAGGGGTGGGGGAAGGAAGAGAGGGAGGGAGAGGGAGGGAGGGAGAGAAGTAAGGAAGGAGAGGAAGATGTTTCATGAATCCTACAGTGAGAGGCAGTTCAGGAGCAAACTAGAAACTGGGTGGCAAATGAACATTAGTGCATCTTGTAAATGAGCAGCAATAAGCAGTCCTATTTTTTTTAAATCACACGTAAGGAGTGAGCTAGCAAATCAGTAGGCTCCTGGAACAAAAAGGATGAAAAGGAGGTAGCAGACATGCTGAATAAGCTTTTTTAACATGAGGAAGCCTATGTCTACTGTATTTTTGAGGTAGATGGGTCAAAGGTTATAACGGCAAATGTGCATGAGACTCTGGTCCCAAGACCCAAACGAGAAGTAGTCACAAGCACAATGACCGAGTAATCTAGTGATCACTTGGACCAAGTGAGTGATCTAGTTACCAGGGCTGACCCGCTTCCAAATGGTTTTGTTGGCAATACTGTTTTGTTTCTCATGCCCCTCCCCTCGCATTACCCAATTTCTGCTCCTGTGAATGTTCAGGGTGCTCACACTGCAAACTGTGCAAAATCAAGTGCAAAATCAAGGGCAAACTGTGCAAAATCCGCAAACCTACACCTGTGTGGCAGAGTGAGGGTGAGGAGGTAAACCTGTTTCAAAATTCCTTTTAAAAGCTGATTATTAACTGTAGAATGAAAGTATGTTTTCCTGTTAAAGAAACTTCTGGTATTAGTGCAACAGAAGGGGGAAATGCTGGGGTCAGGGAGTCTCCCTGGCACTCCTGGAATCAGAGGTGCCGTCAGGTAATGCCCTGACCAGACTTGACTTCTGAAGGAAATAGAAGGGAAAAGTTCTAGTAGTGCTAATGGAAACCTGGGACCCGGCATCCTAGGTGATCACCAAGTAGATTGCTGATGTGGCTCCACAGGCAAAAGGAGCCTTGGGAACAATAAACTGATGAGTGTCTGGGACTGTTAGAGTGTGACTGAGGGGTAACCTGGGCCCCCCCAAATTGCATGGTCTAAAGGGGTCCGACCATCTGTGCGCACAAAGACAAAGCATACTCTTAGTGTAAAAGAACTTTAATAGGATTAGTGTGCACAGAGAGAAAAGAGAAGAAAGGCTAATAGTTTCCCAATAAAACACCCCGTTACCCATCCCCTTGTGGGTAAATGCCCAACCAAACAGGGTTGGCCCAAAGTGGGGCCACTGAGGCCCAAAAGCTTGCCACAAGTTTAAGGTACGTTCTGGTGGGGATCCACAGGAAAGGGGCAGAAAGGGGCAGGCTAGTCTGGGACAAAAAGAGCAAAATCAAAGTACCAATCCAGGTAACAGCTGCCATGGTCAGCCTCCCCTCGTGTCTCTCCCAAATGTCTCCTTCCCTGTCCCCCAAGTCCCTGGTGCAAGTCCAATATTGAGAAGCCAAAGAGCCCTTCTCCATGGGTCTCCCCAGAGCCCACCTGCCTCCTGTGTTATGTGGCTTCACCTGGTGGTTCGGCTCCACCCTTGTTAAGTGGGCCGGATACGGTACCACCTCCAACAGTGCTTTAGCAGGCAAGCTCCCAGATACGAAGGAACCCTGGCCTCTTCTACGCTAGGCTGGGGCTGGCAAAGGGAAATCGTGTGTGATCTTCCATGGATCTTTTTTTGGGGGCTAAGCTCACTTTTAAAATGCTGCTAATTAAGTTTGTATGCCATGTCTATTTTTAAACATGAATTATAAGGAGTTAAAAAAAACTTAAATCATGTACTAGGAGCAGTTTAGAGAGAAAAAATATATAGGAGAGAAACATTTTTTTTTTTTTTGATTGAAGAAGGGTAAATAGACATCTTTGCAGGTGGGCACTGGAAAATCCTCAAATCTACGGATGACACTCAGTGAGATGCCAAGTTAGTGGGGGAATAAAGGAAGCTCTTGGGAGGTTTTATGATGGGCAGATGAGCTCAATAGGGGCACGCCTAAGGTAACCCATTTAGGGAGGGTCAGATAGTACAAACTACATTTGCAGGAAGGTAAATGCTGTCTTTTCAATGAAGACCCAGGAAAGAGCTCTAGGAAACCCAGGGGAAGGCACTGAGAATGACCCAGCTTCCCAGTATGGCAAAAATAAAAAATTAAAAAGGCAAAAAAATATGGGTCATTATCAAGAATGGGATGTAAGGAAAAACAAAAGAATTCTCCTTTTACACAAAACAATAGGATATGTTTATTGGTAAAGCTGCATAAGCAACTCTGATCTGCCCTGCTCAGGGACAAAACAGAGCCTTGGGGGAACAAAGGAGGGCAATTAAAACCAACAGTCCATTGTACTGAGGGTACTTTGGTGGGGGGTGTGGCATAGTAGCAACACCTGAAGGGGGAGAGCCTATACCTCTAAAATACAAACAACATGTAAATACAAAAAAAATGGCCAAAAAACCGATCAGTGGCAGGCTTTAAAAAAAAAAAAAAAAAAAAAAAAAGCCTGTTCAATCTGGCAATACAGAGGCTAGTGCTGCTGGATGATAACCTGGCTGGCCAAATCTCTGCAGCTAAGAGGCCCCTTTGACGCATAAAGTTTTATTTTTCAGTATTTCCACTTTGTCGATAAAATTCCCAGAGATGGCAGTCAGTGCATGTTCCTTTGGGAAGTCCCTGTTTCCACTATAGGCTGGGAGAAATCTGAGCTCAGTGGGGGAGGGAGCTAAAGCACCTTAGTCCCCTTTACTTACCTTGAACAATGTTGACTGGCTGGCTTCTAGTCACACTCGCTAATGCCAGCAGTGACTCTGTACCGACCAATCTCAAGTTTTATAAGCAGGAGTTTAGGTTTCCCATTCTCTCCCTTCCCCCAAACTCTGTAAGGCTTTTCTGTCCCCAATGGTCTACACATTGGCCAACTGTCTGCTCAGAAGTGGCCGTAATTTAATCCTTAACCATACAGTAAAGAAAAAGATTTCTGACTCCAATTTTAACACAACAGATAGAACTCAAGAACTCATAATAAAGAACTCTTTAATATTCACACCAGTGGATGGAAGCAAATCTCCATCATGGAAAAATGAAATGGAACTGTCCAGGTTAATACATGCAGGTTTTAGCTAACAAAGTAGCAGACACGTTATTCTCCAGGGCAGCTCAGCAGCCCTGCTAAGGACAGCCGGAATCATTACGGGTAGTAGGTGAGAGCAAACCTACAGAGTGGCTCTGGTCCAGCCACTTGGTCCTCCCACAAATAGAGGACAGCAGCCTCACAAAATAAGCATAATGAACACAATACAAAAGCAACATGGATATACAGTGGCTTCCTTTTCAAATTGTCCCTTAAAAACAAGATTTCTGTGAGATTGGAGGCCATTTCATCCTACAGCAATGTAATCCACTGGTTACTGGATCAGCATTATTGCCATACCTTTCACAGATGTGGTAATACTTCTCGTCCTGAATACCATCTTGAATGGGCACATTTACACTGTAGTACCGTCCCTTTCCTAAGCCGACATCAGACATATCACCTGTTCCTGCAAAAGAGAAGAGCATGCAAACACTTTTAAGGCATGTGAAATAGAAAGCTTGAAGGATTCTCTGATAGAAATTCAGAAGACCGAAAGGTCAATTAGGAGAGCAATGAATTAGTGATGGTTTTTAAGGGAATGAAAATAAGAAAAATAATATGGGGAAATATCTGTTGTAAACAACAGATAATTGGTGATGGTGAGAATGTTGGGGAGCAGGAAAAACATAGAAAAAGAAAAAACCAGAGTTTCCTTCTTGCTGGATCAAATTATAAAAAAGAGATTAAGTCCTTGGCTTGATTTGTCATGTATCTTAGATTGACAAAATATTAGTATAACAATGCAATTATCAGGATGCTAGGAGTTACACAGGGTATCTGATAGTACAGTAAGTGCAAGTGAGCTATTAACAGTCCATAAAAATCACCTGGAAAAAGAAATAGCATTACATTCCTGTTATCATTGTCATCTGATGTGACCTGTGTTAGATTTTGCATAGAGTAGCACTAATAAGGTATTAACAGCATCCAAATATAACGTATAAGAAACATATAGAAGAACTGCAGTATTTATTTCTCAAATGTAATACTCTGCAAACAGATCACTTGCCTGGGAAAAATCCTGGGGAGAATTTGTGCAGGGACACCGTCATGACTTTGGAGGTGAAACTGAAGGCATCTTCAACGCCTACCAAAGAAAGAAATGGCAGAAGAATCACTTCATATATGCAACTCCTGTTTTCGACAATTGAAATTCTAGAAAGCAGCTGTAGGAAGGATAAGGGATGAAAAGGCAGCAATAATAAAGGCAACAAGTTGAAGACTAGAAGTAATAAAGTCCTTTTGTGACAGTGTAATCCCTATAGGAAGGGAATGTTCCAGGTTCCCTGCCCCATCTAAGGAAGGGAGGAGCTGAGCAGCAAGGGAAAACTAAGCAGGTCAGGGAGGATGAAAGAGGAAGAAGGAGAAGACCTGGAGGAAGTATGTGGAGCAGAGACACATGTGAAGAAGAAGCCACACTTGCTTCTCGGCCTTGGACTTGTACCGGGGACTTAGAGGACATGGAAGGAGACACTTGGAAGAGACAGAGACGTGGGTGAGAGGCCCGTGGGGAGGCTGACAATGGCAGCCTTTATCTTAACTTGTATTTTGATTTTGCTCTTTTTCTTCCAGACTTGCCTGGCTGTTCTGTCCCTTTCCTATGGGTCCCCACCAAAAGGTGACTTAGACGTGTGGCAGGCTTTCAAGCCTCAGTGGCCCTGCTTTGGGTCCAACTCTGTTTGGCTGGGCTTTTACTCACAAGGGATGGGTAACTTAGGGTGTTTCCTGGGGAAACTCTTTTAACTATATATTTTTTCTATTCTACTCATTGTTGCACACTAATTCTATTAAAGTTCTTTTCTACTGAACGACTTATGCTAAGACTAAGAGGATGTTTTGTCTTGATGGAGTGGATGACAGAACCCATTTAGAGCAGGCAGGTTTGGGGGACCTGGGGTGCTCCTCATTTTGCCCATTAACGCTTTAGTCTCTGATCTCTGTCACTACAGGATGATGTAGAACTTTGGACCCAAGTGAAGTTTTGGGGTTCCTTTTCAAGTTCATGGCAAATTATAAGCAGACTTCCCTTTTCCAAGCTGAGGGATGTCCAGACTCTCTTTGCCAACTCGTTTTATTATTTTTTTTAATATTTTTATTTATTTATTTATTTATTTATTTAATAGAATTCTTACATCATTTTTCATCTTTGCACAATGTATGCATTTTCATTTTTGTTATACTCCTCATACAATTGCACTCCCCCTTATTTTTTTATTTAAATATTTTATTTTATATAATTCTTACATCTTTTTTCATCTTTGCACAATGTATGCATTTTCATTTTGGTTATATTCCCCATACAATTGCACCCCCCCCTTATTTTGACTCTAGTCCTTCCTTTCCCCGCCCCTGTTTTAAAAGGTAGAAAATGTTAGAGCTTAGAATTGAGGCATCATCAATAGAACCAAATAGAGGAAACTGGCACCATCTTGGAAATTTTGGTTTTGGCTCAGCGGTTCCAGTTAAACTTTGGGGATTTTTTTGGTCAAAGAAATATAACATGGCAACCCTTTGAAAAACATGACCAATAAAAACCCTAGTTACAAAATGCCCCTCTAGATACAGATTTGGTTATATAGACAGTTTACCCAAAGTCCCATGTGGACTAAGTAACATACAGTACATCTTTCTGACTAAAACATGGATGTCTGAAAATAGTCCTGCCTATGTCCCTTAATAGCAGCTTTATAACATAGTTTCAAAGCCTGTAGAAAGATGGGGGGGGATATTTTTAAAAGGCGCCCCTTTTCCATTTAAACAGAATCAGAAAATAGAGGCCTTGAAGATAAGAGATGGGACTTAAAGTAACCCTGACAAGCCACTACTTAACTGTACAGATAAACACACTGCTGACCTCCAGAACCTCATGTAGTTACTCTGTATTCAGATAATCTGTCTATAAAGGGGAAGGACTACTAGCAATTCATGTACTACCCTCTTTGATACTTCAAATAAAGAAATTGTCTCTGTTTACGTAATACTTTCAGTCTTCATTAGAGGCCAACTGAGACCTTAAAAAAATACTAACTGTGTTTGTGTATCGCAGGTATGTTTGAATTTCCCAAGCCTTATGTTTTGCCCTAGGGAGGCAGTTAAAACCAGTTAAAGGCTCCAGGCACAAAACATTAAATAAACAAAACAAAAGAAAATGAAATAAAACAAATTAAACAGATTTTGACTGAGAAATGAAAGTACAACACATGGATAATTCGTGAAAATCCTGATGATTTATGCACTCAAAGAGGCGGTACCAATTTATACTTCCACTGTATTGGAGAGTTCCCATGTTCTCACACCCCAACTAGCACTGGGTATTGTTATTCTTTTCAATTTGGGGCACAAAGTATGTTCCAGTTTGCATTTCTCTAAGAATTAGGGTGTTGAACACCTTTTCATATGTTTAGTGGCTATTCCAGGGAGTTCCCACTAGACATTGTCAGAAAATCACTCTTAAAAAAGGACCTAGACAAACTGGTGGTGGATATGGAGTATGGGGTGAAAGAAAAGAACACCTCAGGCTGGAGAAGGAGGTGAGGGCAGCGTAGGAGAGCTAGTGAAGCTACCGTGGGATGCTAGTTATGGAATCATGGGAAATTTAAAATAAACCAAATGTGTAAGAGTTTAGAGGTAGGGCAGGGGTCACTGAAAGGGAGGTGCTGAAGAGGGGAAATAAACTGAAATGAAACACACCATAAAAGTTGTCTACAACAGGAAACTCTAAATGGTGTAGAAATAACATTGCAAATGGAAAGACTGGGTTTCAGGTAACAGTCTTATTTCATTCTTACGTGGTTCAATGAGTAGATTCTATTCCTGAACTCTGATACTGATGGTTTCCATTTCATACTCATACATTTAAAAATATTTTACTGAACCCCTACTATATGCATATTTCTGTTTGTTCAAGTCATTTTGCAGGACTGAAAGAAGTAAACGGCTTGATCTCTGCTCTTGAGGAACTGTAAGTTTCCATGGCAAGAGAAGACAGAGATACTTTAAAGAATTAACTAGCCAAACAAGATAATATATAATTATCAAATGAGCCATACAAACAATATAGGACTTGAATGGAGGGAGAAAACGCTTGGGTTGGAATGATCAGAGCAAATCTGCTACTGTCAGAATTTGAACTAATGTGTAGAACTTAGAAATACAGAAGGGGAGAAAGCAAAACTAAGGTAGGAAAAAGTGATGCAAAGTCGGGAGGGAGGGACAGTGACACCTGTCTGGGGATTAGTGAGTAGAGCAGCCTGAGACAAGTAGTGAGGAAGAAAGCTGGAGAGAGAAGGTGAGGCCTCTTTGAGGTAGGACTTGAAAGACAGGGTGAAGGGTGTAGACTTCACCTTGAGGAACCAAAGCATGGCCTGTGGAACAATGGGAGTGTTGTTAAAATGTAGGTTTCCAGGTTTCACACCAGTCCTACAAAAGCTGACTATCTGGTGGACATGCCCCAGGAATCTGCATTTTAAAACAAACTTCCCCAGGTCATCCTGATTATACATTCGTATTTGAGAACCAGAGTTACAAGGCAAGGGCTAGCAAACCACACGGTCTCCAGTGTGTATATTTTTTTCTTTACAATCTTGTAAAAATATAAAGACCATTATTAGCTTGCAGGCCATTTGAAAACCTGTGGCTCAAATGTCACCCTTGTAATAGGCAATAAGGAGTCTCTTCAGGTTTTTGAGCAAGAATGTGTTTTTTACTGGTCAAGTGTACAGCTGTTCAGCGGACACTCTCTTTTTAGAGTAGGCTACTGGGTGTCTGAACCCTTCTCTCTTCTGTGACTCTCCTCTTCTGTCACCATTCCCTGGGACCATCCATCCAGGAGAAGCTCTCTAGGGAGGTTTCCCCCACAAATCTTTTCTTTCTTTTTCTGTTTTGGCAGCAAAATCGATCCTATCCTTAGTATCTATTATTCTTTTCCCCTCTTATACCTTGATGATATTAGTTTGTCTCAAAAACTCCCTGGAAACAGGGAAGGAAAGAAACTTAACTAATAATTTACGGGATAAGCATTCCTAGGGCAATGGAAATACTGTCACACAGACGATTTAGTAAAGAACCAGAATGGGGCCAACTGTCACTGAACCTCTATACATGGTACATGGAAGACACACAGAAATGTTCGAGGCATTCTTTCAAGGAAGCCTAAGAGGGGATGAACGGGGTTAGGACAAATTTTTAAGGAATCTGCTGCTGTTAAAAGATAAAGATGCCCTCCCTGGGTTTGGAAAAACTAAATAATGTAGCAACACAAAGAAAGTGGCATAGATTCTGCTCACTACATGAGTTGATGTTGCCATAGGTGAAAAATCCAGAATGGGAGTCCATTGTGCACCCATCTTATCTGGAGACTATCAGCTCTAACTGCAGATTTCACTTAGAACTAATAGAAATGGCCTGAGATTTGTTGCTGACCACTGGAGTACACACAAGCTAGGATTTCCACTTCTTTTTTTGTTTTAGATTGCCACTTAAAGTTCTCCACTGGAGAGCTTTGCTACTAGAGGAGAGGGGAAGAGATTACAGTATTGGTACTTTAAACAGCCTGGTCAGCAAGGGAGGAATAACATCAGAACAATCTCTAACTACTGTAGGATTCTCAATTAGGAAAACTGCAACAGGCACTGCTCCTTTTACCAGATGCCTAGAAGCAGTTTAACTGATAAAAACCTGCTGTCATAGCAGCAAAGCACCTTTGAAAGTGAAGGGCTTACCATCTCCATGGTGCAGATCCAAATCCACGTAGAGAATACGCTCAAATTTCCGTCGCAATCGTAATATTCCCAGGACAGCATCATTGAGATAACAAAATCCAGATGCTTCATCTCTGTAAGGAAACAAGTTGCTACAGCCAATAGCCAAAAGGAATCTAGGAGTCTTTACAGTCAAGGAGTTAACTCTTGAGATCTATTCCCTTCCAATTCCTCATTTTAAGAAAACCAAAATCTACCTACAAAAATTACATAGTAAATGATACAGAAGGATCAGGGAATGAAGAGTTTTATAAACTAAATATTCGGGTTGATGGGAAACATTTTTTTTTTAAGATTTATTTATTTGTTTGTTTGTTTGTTTGTTTGTTTATACAAGAACCAGGGTACAGGCCAGATGTGCAGGAAGATGAGAGGATTCACCAGAGACAGAGTGGGGAACAGAACAGGTAGACTGACGAAACACACTGCTAAGGGGAGCAGCGGGCGAGGCAGGAGAGGTCTGCCATGCCATGTGGGACCCTCGCTGGCCGGCCAGGATTGAAGCAGCGCTGCTGAGCCTGTGGACAGATTCACAGCAGCGCTCAACCGCCTGCGCCACCAGGGGAGGCCCGATCAGAAACATTTTCTATCCAGGATCCCAGATTTTCAAAGACTTGGATTATCATAGCTATATTGAATAAAAGATTGTTTCTCTAATGATTCAGCAATCATTTTACAATTTTGTAGTACCCTGGGGTCATCGTGATGAATGCTGATCATCACTTATAGGACTTTAGGAAAGCTAGACTCTAGAAGGGGCCTTAAAAACAATCCAACTCAGCCAGATGTAGATGTTGGTGATTGAATTCTCTGCACTGACCCTATGACACAACCTAGAAATTGTGTGTGTGTGTTTTTCAGTAATTCTTGGCACTTGTTGCTCATAAAAGCCGAGTGTGGAGTGTACTGAGTATATGTACAGTAACATTATCATCGATAATGTACCCTAATTTATCGTTAACGTTTCATCCTAAATGCTTCAGTTTCTTTTGCTTCTGCAGACATTTCAAATACCAGCACATTTTTTCTAAGTTCTCCCAGATACTTTACTTGAATCCGAATTGTGGGCATAGGCATCATTTAAAATAACATTTTCATGGCTATGAAACTGTAAGATTTTTCTAGTGTATACACAATGTGTAAACTTCTTTATGAAATCTCTTCCATAACAGTGTCTCATAGTCTCAACAATGCCCTGGTTCACAGGATGCATCGATTGCACAGGTTACCAGCAGGTGGAAAGTTAGTAAAAATATCACTAGATGTGATTTTGCTTCATGAAGGTGAATTTAGTGATCACCCAGAAAAAGAATAGCTTGGCCCTTAGGCATGCAAACAGGAAGAAAACAATTATATAAAAAAGATGAATTTCTTATAAATAAGAATTAAGTACATGACTTTGAAAGTTCTTGGATGTTATCTTCCAAATATGTAAAGCTTACATTTCATAAGTCTACTGTCTTAGCACATCAAAAAATGGGGTAATCTGTCCTATTGAACATCAATAACTTTTGGGTAGATGAGATAGAACATTAGGTGTTAGGAAAAAGAAGGTGGGTGATAGGGAAGAGGAAAAATACAAGTCAATACAAGCCATACTTCCTTCCCTTGGAGAACTTACAATTAAGCTAGGAAGACAAGGCATAAGCACAGAAAAACAAGACCAAAAAACCTACCAACTAAAAGACAGAAATTAATGACACGTATATATGAGAATATAGAAAAATTTTATAGACAAAATTGACAAAGCAGAATCATCTCATTGACAGCATTAAAATTTATCTGAACCCCATGCTTCTGGAAATCAATGATGGTTAAGAAACCCACAGTCCACCCTTTTGTGTCCCAAGGAATGGTTAACGGCAAAGGATGGCATTGCCCTGGCCTATTGCAAGATGAGAACATGCCTCCTCATGACTCCCATAATACTCAGAGATGACTCCCCTTTTTCCCTGTCTCTATAAAATTCCTGGTTCCTTCCTTTCTTTTGAAATATTCCTCTAATGGCAATAGCCTGAGTAATAAGGCTTTTTACCTCTCATTATGTGAGTGCATATTATTTTCCTACATCCAGATGGCATTACCAAATTAGATTACAAAGTATTTTAAGTTAAACAAGCTCTATTCTCATTGGTTTATGGAAATAAGTGCTTAGATAAATAAAATATTCACAAAGTTCCCAGAAAATAAAGAAAATTTATTTCAACATGCTAAAAAAAAGCATTCCAATAAAGACAAACTCAAAAGTTTTAAGAATTCAAATTTGCATAAGCTAGGCAAATCTTTGACAAATAAGACTAATTTAATACTTTTGTTTTATTAAAATCAGCTCTGCCTTTTCTGATTTATAAGGGTTAAGCATAATATACATGTCGATTATATTCTACTTGGGTATGTTCTTCCTAAATTTATACAAACTTACAGACTGAATGAAGTGCTATTACTTCTATTAAATGGTTGAGATTATGACAAATGTAGATTTGTTTAACCAAATTGAGTCATTATTCTGATAAACTTTATCTCAACAATAATTATGTTTTGTAGTATGTCAGGTTTTTTTTTTTTTGACATAGACTAACAAACATCTGATTACTTTAGGCACCATGATGCTCTTTATTTTATTTTATTTTTTAAAGATTTATTTATTTATACAAGAACTGGGGTATAGGCCAGATGTGCAGGAGGGTGAAAGGATTCACCAGAGACAAAGTGGGGAGCAGAACAGGCAGACTGACAAAATACACTGCTGAGGGGAGCAGCGGGCGAGACAGGAGAGGTTTGTCATGCCATATGGGATTCTCGCTGGCCTGCGGGGATTGAACTCAGCTGCAGAAGCCGTGGGCAGCTTCACAACGCGGCGCTCAACCACCTGCGCCACCAGGGAGGCCCTAGTATGTCAGTTTGAATATAATTTATAAAATCTTGAGGTAACCAAAAGTGTTGGGCTAATGCTAAATTGAATTAATTAATGGATATTATTTAGTTGCCTAGATCATTTCTTTTTTTTTTCCAAAGATTTATTTAGATTTATTTATTTATGCATACAAGATCTGGGGTACAGGCCAGAGGTGCGTGTGTGGGGGTGGTGAGAGAATTCACAAGACACAGAGTGGGGAACAGAACAGGCAGACTGACGGAAGTACACTGCTGAGGGGAGCAGCAGGCAAGTCAGGAGAGGTCTGCTACACCATGTGGATTGCTCCCTGGCTGGCCGGGGATGGAACTTGTGCTGCAAAAGCTGTGAATTGCTTCATAGTGCAGTGCTTAACCACTTGCACCACCAGGGAGGCCCTGCCTAGATCATTTCCAAGAGAATGCTGAAACATGAATTATTAAGCATGATTTTGGGTTTATAGATTTGGTTTTTTTGATTCTTATTTTTGCATGCTGCAGAGAGGTTGTAAATGCTTGGATCTGTTAATAAGTGTGCTTTTTATTGGAAACCAATGTTATCTCAAAAAAAGTTTGACAGGGCCTCTCTGGGGGTGCAGGGGGTTGAGCGCAGCACTGTGAGGCCTTTGAGGCATGAGTTCTATCCCCAGCGGGCTGGGGAGCAACCCACATGGCGCAGCAGACCTCTCCTATCTCGCCCGCTGCTTCCCTCAGCAGTGTATTTCAGTTGATCTGCCTGTCTGTTCCCCGCTCTGTCTCTGGTGAATCCTCTCTGCCCCCGCACCTCTAGCCTGTACCCCAGTTCTTAAAAAAAAAAAAAAAAGTTTGACAGATGTCTTTAAAAAACTGTGTTGTTTTCTTTTTTTTTCCCCTTAGAGAAGTTGTACTACAAGGGATATATACTGACATAGAAAGTGGTAGGATATTCACAAAAAGGGAATTGTATTTGTTTGCTAAGGATTGAGGAATTTATCTGTAAGATTTATAAAATTTCCAAAAAGAATATGAGTATCAAATATTATCCTGATGCAAAACTAGAATTTGGTTTTCTCTGTTAAAATGACAAGTTTTATTTTTTATTAATGGCTTTCTCTTAACAGGTAATAAAGGCTTTGTTCACTAAGTAATCTTCCTAGATGACAAAGATCCTGTGTCTTTCCAGAATAATCTTCTATGGCTTATACTGATTTTATTACACGCTTCATTATTTAAGAAATTAATGTTTTTTCACATAGGAAAGAGCTGAGGTTCTTTATAATCATATTACCTCTTATGTTTACTTATAAAATCTTTTATTGTCACTTTGGTTAAATGGAGAACAAAGTACTGTCTTTGAGTAATACATCATCATATCATAACTAAGTCTAGAGGACCCTGGAAAATCTCAAAGGCTTTGTTTTTCACCTTATAAAAACAGGTGCTAGGAGTAATTAGGTTTATTTGATATGTTGATATTGATAGTATGTATGAAAGAGTCTCCAAATCAGAAGAGATTCTCAGCCTTTGCGAGGTTAAATAGGCAAATGGTATAAATATAAAATCTCAAAAATTGTTGTATAGGAAGTTGCTAGAGATTCAATACCCATATTGGCTCCAATAGGTTTTTATTTTTGAGGTTACTAGTGCTGCTATGCCAGATATTTGACAACTACAATATAGTGTTATCAATGATAATTTAAAAAATTTGTTAGCCAGGTCTCAACTTCAAAACTTTATTTTGAACCTAGTACCTGCTAGGTTATTAGTTTTTGACTGGGAGTTAAAAAGAAAATACCTACTCTAGATTACTGAATCTTCTTACTTGATACTCTTGATACAGTCTGGGTATATTCTAATTATGTGCTTGGTATTCATGAGCATATGACCTGTAATATTTGAGCATTGTTATCTCTAAAGATTACATTCATCCACTTTTGGGGGCTGGATTAGTAGATGCAGAGAAATTTTGTCTTCCTTTTGATTATAAAGTGTTCTTATTAATTTGTCAGACATTTACATAAACATCATTTTGGGGGTATATTTTCAAAAATCCATACATGTACATGCTTCGCTCACATACCACCAAAACTCCTATGTCAATGTTCTGTCCACTTTCTTCCCTGTCGTCTCCTCCTATTCCCCATTTTCCCTCTGGTAACCAGTATATGATTCACAGAGTCTAAGAATTATATTTACTGTGCTT